TTCATGAAAATACTTTTTTGAGTCTAGTATAAATGTTCATTCTAGTGGTTCACCAAGTGGGCCCCCACCTAAGTATGAGCCAGCCATGTGCTGCAGCTGCTAAAAAAGCTAATGCAGTCCTGGGTTGCATCAACAGTGTCAAGACAATAAGAAGTGAGGCCACACTTAGAATACTGCATCCAGTTCTGATCACCACAATACAAAAAAGATGTTGAGACCCTGAAAAGTGGGCAGAGAAGAGCAACACAGATAATAAAAGGTATGGAGGCTAAATTGTATGAAGAACAATTGAGGGAGTAGATATGTCTAGCCTATGAAAGAGAAGGATTGAGGGGACATGATAGCTATCTTTGACATCCATTTGTCTAAAATAGTATAAGGTCTGCAGTTCAAACAGAGAGTTGGACCAGAAGACCCCCAAGGTCCCTTCCAACTCTGTTATTCTGTTATTCTAAATACCACTCTGGACAAAAGGCTCTCCAGTCTCTTTTTGAAAATCTCCAGATGGAGCACCCACAGCTTCTGAAGGCAAGCAGTTGCATTGATTTGTTGTTCTCACTGTTGGGAAATTTCTCCTTAATTCTAGGTTGGATCTCTCTTTAATGATTTTCCACTCATTACTTCTGGTCCTGTCCTCAGATACTTTGGAGAATAGGTCAATCCCTCTTCTCTGTGACAGTCCATCAAAAATTGGCAGACTATCATGAGCACTCCATCACTGGAGGTTTTAAAGAAGAGGCTAGACAGTCACTTGTCTGAAATGGTGTAGGTTCTCCTGCTTGAGCAGGGGGCTGGATTAGAAGACCTCCAAGGTCCCTTCCAGCTCTATTCTGTTTTGCTTTGTTCTGTTATCATGTCACCCTGGTTAGTCTCTTTGTTAGAGTAGATAATAATAATAATAATAATAATAATAATAATAATAATAATAATAATAATAATAATAATAATAATAATAATAATAATAATAATAATAATAATAATAGTAAAGTTGGAAGGGACCTTGAAGGTCATCTAGTCCAACCCCCTGCTCAGGCAGGAAACCCTATACCATTTCGGACAAATGGCTGTCCAGTCTCTTCTTA